GAAACGTGAGAAGTTTCTGCAAGTGATGTTGACAGAAAGCCCGTTGTCTAGATGGCTAAACCACCCTCGTGGGCCTTCTAGATCCTTCCCTTCCTCTCAGCCCACACCATCCCCAAGACTGATACAGTCTCCCAACAAAACATAGCCTAAAGCAAATGTTTTTTTTCCCAAAGCAATTTTTCAACAACTTTATGGAGGCAGAATTCACATACCGTACAATTCAGCCACTTAAACTGTACAGTTCAGGCAATTCCCTGGCAGTCCAGTGGTTAGAACTCCGTGCTCTCATACTGCCAAGGCCCCAGGTTCAATCCCTGGTGGGGAAAGTAAGATCCCACAAGTCATGCAGTGTGGCCAAAATTTTTTTGAATTAAAAAAATTAATAAATTGTACAGCTCAGTGGATTTTAGTATGTTAATCACATTTTGCAACTATCACCACAGTCAGATTTAGAATATTTTATCACTCAAAGAAACTCCTTAGGCACACCTCCATCCCAGCCCCAGGCAACCACTAATCTACTTGGTCTGATTTGTCTATCCTGGATAATTCCTGTAAATGGAATTCTACAGTATGTGGCTATTTGTGTTATCTGACTTCTTTCACTCAGCATAATATTTTCAATGTTCATCCACACTGTAGCTAGCATCTGTCAACTAATTTAATCCTTTTGGAGGCTGAATAATATTCCACTGTATGACAGTAGCCTGTTTTGTGTATCCATTCATCAACTGATGGACATTTGGGTTGCTTCCACATTTTGCTTGTTATGAACAAGGCTGCTATGACCATTCTCATGCAAATCTTTGTGGGGACGTGAGTTTCCATTTCTCCAGGGAGACACCTAAGAGTGGAATTCCTGACCTATATGGTAATTCTGTGTTTAACTGTTTGAGGAAATGCCAGACTGTTTAAGTGCCCGCAATCCTCCCACCAGCAGTGTAGGACGGTTTTGATTTCTCCACATCCTTCTTTGCTGCCGTTGTTTTTTTTTTTTTTAATATTTATTTATTTGGCTGCACTGGGTCTTAGCTGTGGCATGTGGAATCTAGTTCCCTGAACAGGGATCGAACCCAGGCCCCCTGTATGGCCAGTGCAGAGTTTCAGCCACTGGACCACCAGGGAAGTCCCTCTCCACATCTTTGTCGACGCTTGTTACTGTCTTGAAGTGAGTTGCTCCTCTCTGCCTCCACCGCCAGTAGCCATCTCTCACCTGGACTTTGAAGTCACCTCCACCCTGTGTTCCAGGTTCCACCCTCAGTCTCTCCCCACACCACAGCCAGAGAGAGCCTGTCAGCACCAGGGTCAGAGCCTGTCCCTCCCAGCTAAGAGCTCTTGCACTGCTGTTTATTGACTGATAGATCCAAATTGTTCACCGGGCTTGGCCCCTGTAGCCAGCCCCTGCTCACCCGTCTCTCTCTCTCTCCAGTTTACTCATTACTCATGCCCCCATTTCCTGCTCATTCAGATCCAGCCACATCAGCCTCTTATTCACTTCTTGAGGCCCCAAGGGCTGCCCAGCCTCAGACCCACTCCCAGCGCTCTGCTCTCTGTCCTAGTACTCTTTGCACTGCTCTCCTCCAACCTCTTTCCTTCCCCTCGCAGATCTCGGCTTTACTGTGACCTTTCCAAAAAAGCCTCCTTGGCCTCCTCCGCCAACCTAACAACGCCTCTCTCCCAGGCTCTTCCTTATTGCATTTAGCACTGATACAAGTCGCATGACTATTTGTAAGACAGTTTGCCCAATGGCCGCCTCCAGTTTAGGAAGGGTCCCATGACGGTGGTTGAGCATCAGTGCCTGGCCTGCTATGTTGTTGTTGTTAGTTGCTAAGTCATGTCCGACTCTTTGTGACCCCATGGACTGTAGCCCGCCAGGCTTCTCTCTCCATGGGACTTTCCAGGCAAGAATACTGGAGTGGGTTGCCATTTTCTTCCCCAGTCCCTCCCTGACCCAGTGACTGAACTCACATCTCCTGCATTGGCAGGCAGATTCTTTACCCAGTGGCCATCTGGGAATCCCCCTTGTTTCTTTTACTGTGACCCATAATGGTGTGGGGGGGTGGGTGGGGGGAGTATATATCCATGTCTATAGCCTCCTGTCAGAAAATAAAAATTTCATACATGGGTATTTCCCCTGCAAGTTCTATATTATTCTGTTTTATTTTTCAAAAACTGGCCTCAGCTGGAAAGCTTGATGTCAGCCCTTGGTAATGGCTCACGTTCATAGTTTGAAAAACTCTAGCAGACCTTCTATAAGCCCCTCTGACACACATCCACCACCCCCCACCCCGCCCCCATCAAAGGCAGGAAATGGGTTTGACTGGTTACATGCTGCACCCGCAAATTCTGGCAGAGGTCCTGGCTGAGCACAGTGGGTTTAATGAACGCTGAGTGAATAAATAAGTTAAATGAGTGAATAACTAAGAGCAAGCCAGGGCCAGAGTTCGGACTGCAGTCCTGCCTGTACTCTCCCTAGGACTCAAGAATTCTGACCACCTCGTTTGCAAAGATCCAGGCAGCGGAGCCCCGGCTCCTGCTACTTCACCCACCCTCTGCTTCTTCCGGGGTTGGGGGTTGCGAGGTGGGGATAAAACATTAAGCAGGGTCTCCCTTCTGGAGGAACCAGAACTCCATTTCCCATAAGCCTCAGGGATGGGACTACATTTCCCATAAGCCTCTGCTCCCGCCAGAGTCTATGCCCTTCAGCCACAGGGGCAGATAATTGCATCTTTCCTCATCCCCCAACCCCCAATTCCGTACTCTCTACCTGCTTATGGTCAGTCCACCCTGCAGCGCTGGTCCCGGCACCCCCTCCTTCCCACCCCTCCTGGTGTGATGAACCTGCCTCAGTTTCTCCAATGAGCGCCCCCTTTCAAGAGGGCTCAATGAACCCCTCTCCCTCCTCTTCCCCTGGGGTTGCCAGTCCCAACTGGGCTGGCTGCGTTTGGGACCCGCGGGTCCTGGACACCTGCTGGGGAACGGGGGCAGGGGCGGGCCGTGCTGGGGATGGGGTGTCTGGGCCGCCTCCGCGGTGTGCAGTGAGGCTGCGCCTGCGATGCGCAGCTCCGGCCCAGCCTCAGCGGAGAGGGACGCAACGCAGGGGCTCGGGGACTACAGAGAAGTCCGCGCGCAGGGTGGGCGCCCGTGCTTCCGGTGTGTCTGCAGCTCGGGGTGCTGTGCGGGGGCGGGGGCGGGGAGTGTGACCCCGAGACGGCGGCGGCCTGGCACGTAATGTGTGCGTCCTTGTCTGTTTTGTCTGCGTCCCTAAGGGACCAAGTTCCAGTCCCCACTCAGCCACTTCCCGGCTGTGTGCCTTGGGGCAGATGTCTGCACCTCGCTGTGCCTGGTTTCCTCATCTGAACGATGGGAACGGTTAAAGAATGTGTCTCGGAGGGCAGTTGTCAGGATTTAAAAGTAATATGTGTGAAGCGCTGAGAACAATGCCTGGCGCGCAGTTAATGCTCCTAAGAATAAATAAATTAAATAAACTATGATCATGTATCTTCTGTATGAGGCAAGCACCTCTGGTTGTGTAAAGGTTGCACAAACTTACAGAAATGTGGGTATCTGTGATGCGTGTGTCTGTGTGTCTTTGAATGTGTTCTGTTTGTGTGTATTTGTGTATGTAATGTGTGACTACACCGGGGTAATGTGTTTTTGTAACCTTGTGTGAAATTTGTATACATTTGTGATGTGTGTGTCCACGTATGTTAAGGTATGTGATGTATCTTTGTGTATCTGTGTGTTCAGTGTGTATGCACGTGTTGTCTATGCGTGTTTCTGTACGTATAATGTGCGTGGCTGTGTGTATGTATGTGCTATGTATGTATCAGTGTAATGTATTTGTGTGTGTGTATTTTTGGACATGATTTGTGTAGCTTTGTATATTTTTTGTAGTGTACATCTATACCCATGGGTGAGTTGTGCTTGTATATGTGTAATCTGTATGTGTGACTTGTGTCTCTGTATTCATGTGAGTGAAATGTGTCTGTGTGAGAGATGTGTGTGTCTTTGTGTGTTGTATATTTGTGTGTATTCGCATATGTGATATGCATGTCTCTCCTTGTATCTGCTGTGTATTTGTGTACATTTGTGCACCGGGATACTTGTGTATCCTGTGTGTGTCTCCATGCATGTCTGTGTATTTGTGATGTGTGTGTCTGTGGGTCTTCTTTGTTGCCCGTTTGTTCGTGGAATGTCTGTGTTCGTGACTTTGTGCCTTGGTGTGTCACCATGGTGTCTGCGTGGATCTCTGTGGCGTGCGTGTCTGTGGAGTTGGGGCCTTACTTTGTCTGTGGCATGTGTGGGTCTTTGTGATGCGCTGACGCTCCTGCGTGGCCGGGTGCATCTGTGCCGGGGGCCGGCCTGCCTGTGCGTGCTTAATGCAGCCCATCATCCCTGCGTCTTTGTGTGTGACGTGTACGTGTCCCCGTCTGCCGAGCGCTGTCCACCTTTGTATGTGCTGTGCTTGTCTGTGAGGGTCTCTGCGACGTGGGTCAGCCATGTGTGGGCTGCGTGTGCCTGTCGGACATCTGCATCTTGGCGCGGAGCACACGTGTCCGTGCCGGTGGCATGTCACAGCAGCGTCCGGGCCAGGCACGGTGGGCCCTGGGTCCCCCCACACGAGGGTCTGCTGGTCCCTGTCTGTCCCTCCCCCTCCCCTCCCTCCTGGCAGCCAATGCTACTGGGGAGCCAGTTGCTATGACGACGCTCCATCCTCCCTCCATCCTCCCTCCTCCCACCCTTCCTCTGACAGGCTGTCTGCTCCCCCAATCCTGGCTGCCCTCGGGGGCGGGGCCCTCATTCTCCCCCCCCCCTTATCCCTTCATCTGTCTGTCCCTTCAGAGAGGGGGAGGGGGGTCCCTGAGCCTGTAAGCAGCCCCTCCCTCCCCCTGTCCTGAGCCTCCTGCCCCTCACCTGGGCCGGGGGGAGGCCAGGGTCGCGCGGGTCCCCATGGCTGGGGGCTGAGGGCCCGCCCCCCCCTCCTCCCCAGCCGCCACCACCTCCACCTCCCTGCCATCCTCGACAAGATGCCTGCCCCCGGCGCCCTCATCTTCCTCGCGGCCGTCTCCGCCTCCGGCTGCCTGGCGTCCCCGGCCCACCCCGGTGAGTCTGTCGGGCCATCCGGCTGTCCAGTGGCCCCTACCCCCACCCTGGCCTGCCCCGGGGTCTGTCTGCGGGGCTCCGGCTCCGTCACCTGTGTGGCGTCTTCCCGCAGCGAGCCAGGGCCTGGGGAGGCGCAGGAATGGTGCCTCTGTCAGCAGGGCCTGTGGGAGGAAGGCTGGGGGCTGGGTGGGGAGGGGGTCCGTTCGGGCAACATGTGTGTGTGCAGACGCGCGCGCGCGTGTGTGTGTGCAGGTGTATGCAGGAAGCCGGGGAAGGTCAGGGCCTCTGGGAGAATTGGGGACAGAGAGGAGGAATACTGTTTCTAAAGGGGACACAGCCTTGGAGGCTGTCTCCGGCTTTGGGGGAGTCCCAAGGCTTGCGGAGCTCCCGACTCGGGACCTGGGGCTGGGGACAGAGGACATGTGTGTGCTCCAAGCGTCCCTAAAAGTGACAGGCCTCAACCCCCGTAACTAGGGTCCAGCATGGGGTGAGCACCTTCTCCCAGCCTGCAGCTGGGGGCTCATCCTCTTCTTCAAATAGGGGGTAAGAAGGCTGTCGTGGGAACGTATTTTAAATTCTGAGTGCTCCAGCCTCCACTGTTACTCCTCCTTCCCTCAGTCCTCACTGAAATTCATCCAAGCCTGAGGGTGAGGTGATGGGGTGGGGGTGGGGGGTCCCAGTTTGGGGCTAGAGGAGGGACCCCACCCCCAACTCACCACTTGAGAAGGCCCCCAAACTACAACTCCCACAATGCCCCGAGCCACCCGGCTCCTCTGCCAAGGGGGCCCCTGGGTTCAGAGCATCATGGGAGCTGTAGTCAAGACTAACTGGACGGGGAGGGGCAAGGAATCCGGGAACCAGGGGCGTGAAGACGCGAGCCCAGCCCAGCCCTGTCCCCACAGACGGATTCGCCCTGGGCCGGGCGCCTCTGGCTCCTCCCTATGCCGTGGTCCTCATCTCCTGCTCTGGCCTCCTGGCCTTCATCTTCCTCCTCCTCACCTGTCTGTGCTGCAAACGGGGCGATGTCGGCTTCAAGGTGAGGTGCAGGAGGGAATTTAAGGTGGGGAGGAACACTCCAGCAAGGCCTTTCCTCCGCTACCCCCCCACCCCCACGACCGGGGGAGCCGGGCAGTGAGTCTGAGAGCCCTTCAGGCCTGAAGTGACAGCAAGATCCAACTCTGGATGGGAATTGGACTGAGATTGGAGGACAGTTGGGAGAAAGGTGGGGATAATATTGATGAGAAGGACCATGGCAGGTCTCAGCCCTGTGTTCTCCCACCCCTCACCCCTCCTGGCCTCAGGAGTTTGAGAACCCTGAAGGGGAGGATTGCTCCGGGGAGTACACGCCCCCCGCCGAGGAGACTTCCTCCTCGCAGTCACTGCCTGATGTCTACATTCTCCCCCTGGCTGAGGTCTCGCTGCCAATGCCTGCCCCGCAGCCATCACACTCAGGTATGGCCCTGCACCTTGACTGGGATCCCGTGGCCCCACAATTCAGGGTGGGGGAAGCTGACAGCCCTCCCTCAGGGAATCAAAGGGAAAGGCAGAAGTGGGAGCCTTGAAATCTTGGAAGCAGCTTGAAGCAACTCCAAGATCATTTTGGTAGAAGCTGTTGCTTAACTCCAAACCAGATTTGGGGATTCTTGTGGAGCAATCCATGGTGAGGTCAGCCTAGATCTTAATGTCAGAGGCAGAGCCAATGGCTGGCTGAAGTCAAGTCATAGGATCTTGGGACACCAAAGGGAAGAACGGATTGGATACTAGAAACTTGTGGGCAGCCAATGAGGAGACTGAGATCTCTTCATGGCATGTTGGGGCAGCCAATGAAAAGAGATTTGTCGTGTCTGCTTTGACCCCGGTCCCCACTGAGTTAGGGGATGCTGGTGGCACTTGGGAGGGGAGAGAGGCTCAGGTGCCTCCCCTTTTACTGCCTCCCACGCCAGACATGACCACCCCCCTGGGCCTTAGCCGCCAGCACCTCAGCTACCTACAGGAGATTGGGAGTGGCTGGTTTGGGAAGGTAAGTAAGTGGGGCTGGGGGTGGGAGGTCGGGGCTCTACACAATCCAGGGCAACTCTCCTGTTCTGTGTCCATCGCCCCTGCTCCCACCACTTCTCATCTGCCCCCTGCCTCCTCCCCCTGCCCCCTCGGCCCACCCATTGCCCTCCCCTCTGTTCACCTCTCACCAGCTCCCACCCATCCCATCCCCCACATCTGTCGGTCAGCGCCTCCCTCCTCACTCCATTGACCACTCCGCCTCGCCATCCGGCTCTCCACGCGTCCGTCTGTCCATCCTTCCACCCGTCCCTGCGTCCATCGGACTCTGGGCCTGTGAGTCTCCCACCCCGCATCTGGTGGGGATAGGAGGGTGGTGGGAGTTGAAAGAAGAGGCTGGAAAGGAGAGGGAAGTTGGGAGCCATACGGTGGGGTGGAGGGCACTCCCTGGGATGGGGCTGGGAAATCTGCAGGCACTGATTCCTGGGTCCTCCTTGAGCAGGTGATCCTGGGAGAGATTTTCTCTGACTACACCCCAGCCCAGGTGGTGGTGAAGGAACTCCGAGCCAGTGCAGGGCCCCTGGAGCAGCGCAAGTTCATCTCGGAAGCACAGCCCTACAGGTATGGGGACCTCTGGGTAGACATGGAGCCCTGAAGGCCCGAATATCTGAGTCTGTGCCTCATGGCGGTAATGTTTGGGAGCAGGAGGAGTACAGTGTGGGGTCAACTCTGGATTCAAATCCTAGATGTACCTTTTCCTGGCTGTCCCAATCAATCTAGATCATTTCCCTCCCTGAGCCTCGGGGTCTTCCTTGGGCCAGAGACAGGGACATGAAGGCAGTGTGATGCAGGCAAGGGAAAAGCTCAGCACAAAAGCTGAGCTGGTATTCTGTTTTTCTCCACTCTGAACCTCAGTATCTTCATCTAGAAAGTAAGTCCAGGAAGTCTGAGCAGCCTCATGTAGCAGGCAACTGAGAGGATGCAAAATGGGCCTTTGCCTGGCACAGGGTCCATGATGGTGGTTCCTTCTTCGGGCCCCTGCCTATGGGTTAAGAAGGGCAGAATCAGAATCACAGACCAGGGTTCTGAGTGCACTAAATGGCCACTGTCCCCCCACGCCTGTCCCCACTGAATTGGGAGGTCTGGGAAGACAGGACACTATCCCTTTCCTGTCTGGTCTCCACTCTAAGAGCTTCTAGATCAGGGTTAATTAAACCTCTGCTCATATATGCCCTGTGGGGTACTGAGTGCCCAGGCATGGAGAAGGTGTGTATATGGGCACCTCTTAACAGACGGCTGCAAAAGTGAGCTTTGCCCTGAGACTTTATGACCTTTTCCTCTGAAAACTCCTGTGGTTTCCTGTGACTCACAGGACAAAATCCTAACCGTCCCTACAGCCCACAAGCCCTGTTCACTGACCCACCCACAGACCAGCCTCAGTGCTACTCTCCTTGCTGTTCCCTCTGTCTGGAATGTTGCTCTTGGCTTACCCACCCCCAGTTTCTGATGGTGGGATCCCTTTTCCTCCCTGGGTCTCAGATCAGAAAGGCCTTCCTTTATACACACACATACACACTGCCACCTAAGAAGGGCCCTGGGATGCTCCATCATATCAACTTGTGTATTTTCTTCATCACACATATCTTAGTGTGTAATTATTTCATCCATGTACCCATTGACTTGCCCCCGTCTCTCTCAACCCATGCTGGCAAGCACCAGCCACATATGTCTATTTAAATTCATCTTAAATAAAATGCAGTCAAATTCAAGATGTCTTTCTCAGCTACCCTTGCCACATTTCAAGAGCTCAGGAGCCACATATGGCCAGTGGTTCCCACGTTAGACATCTCAGATGGAGAACATTCCCACCTTCTCAGAAAGTTCAGGTGGAGAATGCAGGACTATACGGGCAGCTCAGGGTACGTCTTGTCACTCAGCTACAAGCTGGCCCTCGGTAGACGTTTGCTGGATGAGCCATAGACCTGAGAGCAAATCCCAGCTCTGGCACCGTTACCAGCTGTGTGACCCTGGGCAAGTTACTTTACCTCTCTGAGCCTCCCTTTTCCCCTGAATCCAATGGGAAATATCATCCTGCCTAGCAAGGTTGTTAGGAGGATTTGATAACAGAAGGGGCCAGCCTTGGCTCAGATTAGTAGGTGTGCAATGGATCCAAGCTTCCTTCTACATCTGCCATCCTAAGTCTCTCCATGATGGGAACTCCAATCATTTTTTTTCAAGCCCCAGCACATGCTGGTGCTTTAGGAAAGCTTTATCTCATTAGTCGTCTCCCAAGCAGGAGCAGAAGCCACTATCCACAACCCCCTCTCCCCACCTCAACCTCTCTCCTCCCAGGCCCCAGTGTTCTACCCTCCTTGAGCCAGGTTCTGGGCTGCAAGCCCTGGATGTGTTAATCTTTCCATAGACCCTCGGGTTATGTATCAGGGTAAAATCCTTCATGCCACACGATTTTATTGAGAACCTACTAGTCTAGGCACAGGAGACCTGGCCACACACACAAAAAGCCCCAAATCCTTGTCCTGTAAAGCTCGCCACCTAGTGGAGGGGACACACAATAAATGAGCCAGTGAAGAAAATAAATTTTATCAGGAAAATATCACTGACTGACAAGTGCCTTGAGGCAATAAGGCAGGATGTGATGGAGATGGAGGAGCTCTGGGATGGGAACTGTAGGAAAGGCAGGCTTGACTAGGATGAATCAGTTTCACAAAGCACTGTGGGAAGCGTGTTCCAGGCAGAGGGAACAGCAGGAACAAAGGCAATGAGGCAGGAGAACGCAGTCGAAATGCAGGACAAGATGAGAATCAGACAGTATGGTAAAATACATCAGTATTAATAGTGAGGATCTTTCACTCCGTACCAGCTCCTCTCTCATCCTATTAAATTTCTTGCCACAACTTTATGAGGGGATTACTATGAATATCCCCATTTTACATTTGAGGGAGAGGCCAAGTGACTTCTGTGAGGTTACACGCCTGGGAAAGGGGAAAATAGCATTCAGAAACCTGCTCCCCCAACCTGACTCTTAGCTACAGTGAGAGGATAAAGGAGGGGCATCCCCCAGTGTTGAGGGAAGGGCAGTGATATCTCTTGAGGAAAGGATCTTGACACTAGGGGATGAGAAGGTCTTTGATGAGAGTGGAGTGTTCTCCACAGAGAGAGGTATACAAGGCTTGAAGCCTAAGCAGGCACCTGTGAGTCTAGGGAGAAGTACACAGGGGTGAAGAGTGATGCTGGGAAAGGCAGAGGGGCAGGAAAGACTGAGGAGTGAGCCAGGCTCTGTCCCAGGGCAACTGGGGAGCCATGGAGGGTCGTGAACAGGTGGACATCAGGGACAGGCTGAAAGGGAGAGACTGGAGGCAGGGAGGCTGGGAGGAGGCTGGGAAGAGAGTCCAGGAAGTGAGGAGGAGGCTTGAGCTGGGGCTGTGGGAGGGGAGGGGAAGGAATCTGGGGGCAGGAAGAAAGGTTGAGGGGGTGGTGAGCCAGAAGGAGGGGCAAGGAGGTGCCCGAGGGTCTGGCTTGGAGACTGGGAGACAATGGGATGGACCTGAACCCGGTGGGGGCTCAGGGCCATTAGCAATGACATCATCATAGCGACACCTGTGACAAGATAGCATCTCTTAGATGAGCCCTCAGACCCCAGGTTTCCCTTGTAGCTCAGTTGGTAAAGAATCTGTCTGCAATGCAGGAGACAGGGATTCCTTTCCTGGGTTGGGAAGATCCCCTGGAGAAGGAAATGGCAACCCACTCCAGTATTCTTGCCTGGAGAATCCCATGGTCAGAAGAGCCTGGCAGGACAGAGGAGCCTGGCAGGCTACAGTCCATGGGGTCGCGAGAGTCAACACGACTTAGCAACTAAACATGAAAACAAGGACCCCAGGTGGCACGCCCTGACTAGCACGTGAGGAGGGTGGGTTCTGTTACTATGTGTTTCTCAGCAGCAGGGGAAACTTAAGCCCAGAGGGGCTGCCAATGAGTGCAGCGGCCGCCCCATCCTTGCCTCAGGTTGGCTGGATATGTCGATGCTTGGGAGGGGGCGGTGGGACTGACCCCTCCCTGCCCTCTCTCCCAGGGGGACCTGAAGCGTTACCTCCGGGCCCAGCGGCCCCCCGAGGGTCTGTCCCCTGAGCTGCCCCCTCGAGATCTGCGGACACTGCAGAGGATGGGCCTGGAGATCGCCCGCGGGCTCGCACATCTCCACTCTCACAACTACGTGCACAGGTGGCAGCCCGGAAGCCACCGGGCAGAATTGGGACGAGGGGCAGGGCGAGGGGCTTAAGGAGGGAAGGAGGCTTGAGGGGGGTGGGGTGGACGCAAAACGGGGAAAGACCCAGGCTGGGGTGGGGAAGAGGCGGGGTCAGGAGCGTTGGGGGCGGAGTCAGGAAGGGGCGGGGTTAGTGAGGGAGGCGGGGTCACAGAAGGGAGGGCGGTGTCGGGGAGGGGGAGGAGTCAAGGCAGGAGAGGAGGAGTGAGAAAATGAAGACCCAGCAGTGCGGGGAAACTTGGCGCACTCTTTAAGTAGCGGGGCGGGCTTCCCCAAAGCTGCCCGCCTCTTACCTGGCCCCCTCGCCCGCCCCCAGCGACCTGGCCCTGCGCAATTGCCTGCTGACCTCCGACCTCACCGTGCGCATCGGAGACTATGGGCTGGCCCACAGCAACTACAAGGTGGGGGCTGCCCTCCATCACGACGCGGAAGGGAGCAAGTTGGGGTGGGGGGGTGCCCCGGCCCACCTGACCGCGCCCCGACCTGCCCCCCCACCCCCCAGGAGGACTACTACCTGACCCCCGAGCGCCTGTGGATCCCGTTGCGCTGGGCAGCGCCAGAGCTCCTTGGCGAGCTGCACGGGACCTTCATGGTGGTGGACCAGAGCCGCGAGAGCAACATCTGGTGAGGGGGGTGGGGGGCACAGAGGGCAAGGAAGGCGGAAGTGTCACAGGTTCTACAGATGGGGAAACTGAGGCCCGGGGAGGGGGTCGGCTCCCTGGAGGGTCAGGGCGGGGCTCTGACCTCTCTCTTCTCCCTGCAGGTCCCTAGGGGTGACTCTATGGGAGCTGTTTGAGTTTGGGGCTCAGCCTTACCGCCACCTGTCAGACGAGGAAGTCCTGGCCTTCGTCGTCCGGCAGCAGCACGTCAAGCTGGCCCGGCCGAGGCTCAAGCTGCCCTATGCGGACTACTGGTGAGGGCCGGGCCTGACCCCTGACCCCTGACCTTCCACCTCCCAGCCCTGGATGATCCCAGAATCCTCCACTTCATTTCACACTCTCCCCTGCACACTTGCACCACGTGCTGCCAGCCCTAAACTGGAGTGGGGACCTCCCAACCCCTTCTGCCAACATCTGCTTGCTACTTGGAGGAAGGGAAACTGAAGCATGGAGTGACACAGCTGGTCTCCAAATCTAGTTTCTCTGACCCTAGAAGACCTCTGCTGCTTGCCTGTCTCTGATTCCAAAACTTGTAACCCAACCAGAAGGCCGCCTTAACTGTCACTTAACATTTCCCTACTGTGCCTTGCTGTCCTCTCTTCTAGGTTTCTGTTCCCCCTCTCTCTGAGTCTCTGTCCCTCTCTCTCTGGTTTCTGTCTCCCACCTTGGTCTTTTTTTTTTCTCTCTCTATTTTGGCTGCAGGGCAGGGCATGTGGGATCTTGGTTCTCTGACCAGGGATCGAACCTGTGCCCTCCGTAGTAGAAGCACAGAATCTTTAACCATTGTACCACCAGGGAATTCCCCTCTCTTGGTCTTGACTCTTGTCTCCCTGGGTGTCTACCCACCTGGTCTCTGCCTCCCCTGGGGACCGCCCCCCCCGCCCCCCGCGAGCTGGGACTCTGCCTGCTCACTCTTGCCTCCTCCCTCTCCCCCAGGTACGACATCCTGCAGTCCTGCTGGCGGCCCCCTGCCCAGCGCCCCTCAGCCTCTGATCTCCAGCTGCAGCTCACTTACCTGCTCTCTGAGCGGCCCCCGAGGCCCCCACCGCCGCCACCCCCACCCCGAGATGGTCCCTTCCCCTGGCCCTGGCCCCCTCAGCACAGCGCCCCCCGCCCGGGGACCCTCTCCTCTCCGTTCCCCCTTTTAGATGGCTTCCCTGGGGCTGACCCTGACGATGTGCTCACGGTCACCGAGAGTAGTGGTGGCCTCAACCTTGAGTGCCTGTGGGAGAAGGCACGGCGGGGTGCCGGTCGGGGCGGGGGGGCACCCACCTGGCAGCCGGCATCCGCGCCCCCGGCCCCCCACGCCAACCCCTCCAACCCTTTCTATGAGGCGCTGTCCACGCCCAGCGTGCTGCCGGTCATCAGTGCCCGCAGCCCCTCCGTGAGCAGCGAATACTACATCCGTCTCGAGGAGCACGGCTCCCCACCGGAGCCCCTCTTCCCCAATGACTGGGACCCCCTAGACCCAGGGGTGCCTGCCCCCCAGGCCCCCCAGGCTCCCTCCGAGGTCCCTCAGCTGGTGTCCGAGACCTGGGCCTCCCCACTCTTCCCGGCGGCCCGGCCCTTCCCGGCCCAGTCCTCCGCATCCGGCGGTTTCCTCCTGAGTGGCTGGGACCCCGAGGGCCGGGGCGCCGGGGAGACCCTGGCAGGAGACCCTGCCGAGGTGCTGGGGGAGCGGGGGGCCGCCCCGTGGGCCGAAGAGGAAGAGGAGGAAGAGGAGGGCAGCTCCCCGGGGGAAGACAGCAGCAGCCTTGGTGGGGGCCCCAGTCGCCGGGGTCCCCTACCTTGCCCCCTGTGCAGCCGCGAGGGGGCCTGCTCCTGCCTGCCCCTGGAGCGGGGGGACGCCGTTGCAGGCTGGGGGGGCCACCCTGCTCTTGGCTGCCCCCATCCCCCAGAGGACGACTCATCCTTGCGGGCCGAGCGGGGCTCCCTGGCCGACTTGCCCCTGAACCCCCCCGCCTCGGCCCCCCCCGAGTTTCTGGACCCCCTCATGGGGGCGGCGGCGCCCCAGTACCCCGGGCGGGGGACCCCCGCGGACCCAGCCGTGTCCCCCGACCCCTCCTCGGCCGTGGCCAGTCCCGGCTCAGGCCTGTCGTCTCCGGGCCCCAAGCCGGGGGACAGCGGCTACGAGACCGAGACCCCTTTTTCCCCCGAGGGAGCCTTCCCCGGCGGGGGGGCAGCAGAGGAGGAAGGGGTCCCTCGACCACGGGCTCCCCCCGAGCCCCCCGACCCGGGAGCGCCCCGGCCGCCCCCAGACCCGGGTCCCCTCCCGCTCCCGGGGGCCCGGGAGAAGCCGACCTTCGTGGTTCAAGTGAGCACCGAGCAGCTGCTGATGTCCCTGCGGGAGGATGTGACAAGGAACCTCCTGGGAGAGAAGGGGCCCCGGAAGACGGGGAGAGGTCCCGGGAATCGAGAGAAAGCCCCGGGCCCGAGCCGGGACCCCCCAGTCCCGGAAAGCGGGAAGCAAGCCCCAAGCCCCAACGAGGGCCTGAGCCTCCCGGTAAACGGGGTGACAGTGCTGGAGAACGGGGGACCGAGAGCCCTGGGCGCCGACGAGAAGCTGGCCGAGAATGGGGACCCCGGGTCCCCAGAGAGAGAAGAGCAAGTGCTGGCGAATGGGGAGCTGCCACCCCCAAGGAGAGAGGAGACAGTGCTGGAGAATGGGGTCCCAGGGCCCCCAGAGAGAGAAGAGCGAGTGCTGGTGAATGGAGGACTGACACCCCCAAAGATCGAGGCGGGGTCAGAGAATGGGGGCCTGAGACTCCCCAGGAACCCGGAGAGGCTGCCAGAGACTGGGCCTTGGAGAGCCCCAGGGCCCTGGGAGAAGATGCCCGAGAGTGGGGCTCCAGCCCCCACGAACGGGGAGCCAGCCCCAGAGACCTCACTGGAGAGAGCCCTGGCGCCCGGCGCGGTGGTCTTGGCCCTGAACGGCGGGGAGACAGCCCCTGGCCCCGCTGGCCCAGCCCCCAGGAGCGGGGCGCCGGAACCCGGGACCGAGAGGAGAGCCCCCGAGACTGGGGGGGCACCGAGAGTCCCCGGGGCTGGGAGGCTGGACCTCGGGAATGGGGGCCAAGCCCCAGTGGGCACGGGGATGGCCCCCGGCGGCGGCCCCGGAAGCGGCGCGGACGCAAAGGCCGGATGGGCCGACAGCACGAGGCCACAGCCGCCCCTGCCGCCGTTGGAAGCGCAGCCGAGGAGACCGGAGCCAGCGCCCCTGAGAGTCAGGCCGGAGGCGGCCTCCGAGGGAGAGCCCGGGGCCCCAGACAGCAGGGCCGGCGGAGACACGGCACCCAGCGGAGACGGGGACCCCCCCAAGCCCGAGAGGAAGGGCCCCGAGATGCCACGACTGTTCTTGGACTTGGGACCCCCTCAGGGGAACAGCGAGCAGATCAAAGGTGAGCAGGCTGCCGGGAGCATGGAAGCGCGGTTGGGGGCCGAGGCCCAGCTCTTTCCAAGAAGTAGGGTGAGGTTGAGAAGCTCAGCTTCCCGGGTACCAGGCAGGTCAGACCGCTAACGAGGGCAGACCCTGGAGTCATACTAGGACTTCCCTGGTGGCTCAGACGGTAAAGCGTCTGTCTACAATGCGGGAGAACCAGGTTCGATCCCTGGTTCGGGAAGATCCCCTGGAGAAGGAAATGGCAACCCACTCCAGTATTCTAACATGGAAAATCCCATGGACGGAGGAGCCTTGTAGGCTGCAGTCCATGGGGAGTCACACTACCTGGTCTCAAACCCTGGCTCCGCCCCTCTCTAGCTCTGTGACCTTGGACAAACTCCACGCCTCAGCTTCCTCATCTGCCAAAAGCAAAAGACAAGGATAGCACCCATCTGCGAGAGTTACATGAGTTAGGACTTCCAAAGCCTTTGACCCAGTGCCTGGCACTTCTAAGCACCAGCCAGTATATCACAATTCATGTCAACCAGGGATCACAAACTCAGATGCTGAGGGGGGAAGGGTGACAGATAATATAAGGGAATGAATGAATGAATGAACAAGAGCTGGGAGATGTGGGGTGGGAACTGGGAAAGAAATGCAGCCATTTATAAGCTTCATTCGGGAATGCCCACCCGGTATTGCCAAATCTGCTGCTTTCCCCCTTTAAGCCAGAGTTCTGGTTGTTTTAATGGTGGAATCGAATTCAAACGAAGCCTCTCTGTGGGCTGGGCTGCCAGTCCATGTTCTCTTAAATTTCCCACCAAGCTGAAGTATCTCATCAGTGTGCCAGGCCTCCCAGGTGCCAGGCTCTGAGCTGCCCAGGGCTGGGACCCAGGGGGCCTCAGACCCTGCCCTGCCCACCGTGGTACTGGTGGCCTGAGAGCCTAGGCGAAATGCCTTTTCTTGAAACTTGAGTTTTGACAGGAACACAGTGGCTGTTTTGTCACAGAGAAGGGACAGTGTAAGAGAAGATAAATGGAGAGTAAAGATAAATGGCCCCTGTTTAGATGTGGACATAGGAATAGTTAGGACTCCAAGTTTCCACTGCTGGGGGCATAGGTTCGATCCCTGGTCAGGGAACTAAGATTCCTGCATGCCATGTGGCGCAGCCAAAAAAATAAAAAAAGAGAGAGAGATTAGGGACTGTGGTTCCACTCCAATCACCTGGAGGCCTGATTTCCTTAAATACTGGTATGAAAGTTATACTGGTATGACCCAGCCAGTTTCATGTTGGCAACCTCACAGCCACACTTGAGGGAAGGGTTATCATCTCTGTTTGCCAGAAAAGCCTGAGATTCAAGAGGGAAAGGTCACGAAGGGGACTGGGCACAGAACCTTCCTTCCTCAAACCCATGTTATTAGAATACTACCCTTTTCTCAAGGTTGTTGTGGAGAGTTTGCAACCAGCTGTGTCAGAAAAGACCCTGGGCCACATGAAAGTGACAGAAGATGAGCAACTCAGATGCCTCAGAGAATCTGGGGTGGGGGTGGGGGATTGGTGTTTGGTGAGAAGAGACTGGGAATAGCCTTAAAAAAAACAGTGAACTTCTACTCATCCCTCACGAGCCCACTCAAATTTCCCCTTCCCGGGGAAGCCTTCCTGATTTCTAAAGACTGTTACCCTGTACTTCCTCTGGGTATTCAAGCCCCTGATAGCTCCCTCTATAAAGCTCCACCCCACCCCATCACCTTGAGATGAGTGGTCAGGGAAGGGTTCAATGAAGAGGCAACTTATGAGCAGACATGAAGGAAGTGAACCGGGTGGACATCTGGGAGAAGGATGTTTCAGGTAGAGGACACTGAGATGGGTACTAAGTTGGCATGTTCAGAGAATAACAAAAGGCTGGTGAAGCTGGAGTAGAGTGAATGAGGGGTGCAGAGTGACTCAGTCCACATCCACCTTTCTCCTTGCCCTGCCCTGATCCTCTTCTCATTCCCACCATTGCCCTGCACAGGGCCTGCACAGTTCACTTATGCAGTAATGGAGAGATGGGTGGCCCCTGTGCGTTTACCAGTGAGGAAACAGAGGCTTGGAGAGGTGGACCTGCTTGCCTAGGGACATATAGCAAGAGAGCAGGGTAGGCTTGGGATTTAAAGTGAGGTTTCCTCCTCCAGGGACCTAAAGTCCTTTCTCTTAGTAGGCTAAGATTAAGGAGTCGTAGGGCAGAGAAAGGACCTGGAGATGGCTAGACACCCCAATTTTCTGGCCATGCAGGGCCAAAAAGGGAAAGAAAGTACCTTGGTCAACATTGTATAGCAGGGAACATTCATTCATTAATCCCACAAATATTGACCGAGTACTTCTGTATACTTGGGGCTTGGGAATGCAGCCAGAGCGAGCACGACTCAGTCTCTGTTCTGTGGCAAGGCAAACATTAATCACAGTGCCGCAGAATTAGAGTTCTGTACTGAGATCAACTGCTCGGAAGGAGAGGTGCTTGGTACTACGCAGTGCAGAGCGGGTAGCCTGGCCTGACCTCCTGGGAGATCCCCGAAGGCTTTAAAAGTCCAGACAAGAGCTGGATGATGCATAGGACTTGAGTTCTGTAAGGAATTTCCAGGCAGAGGGAACAGCGTATGCAAAGGCTCAGAGGTGGGAGGAAAGGGGGCCCGTGTGGCTGGATGGAGGTCAAGCCAGAAGGAGGGGGCAACAGAGCCAGGAGAGGTCAGCAGAGCCTGGGCACTGGGGTCTGATGGTCCTGGGGAGAAGCTGAGGCTTTGTGCTGTGGGCACTGGGGAGACATGGGGCGGGTTAAGCACTGGATTAGGGGGAAGATCGCTCCCCTTCTGCTGGGAGAACCCCAGTGCAACCTTTTGGTTTACAAGGGTGGAAACAGACTGTGCCTGAGATTACCTGAGGACACACAGCTAGGTGGGAGGGCACGCCTCAGTTTCCCCGAGAACTGGAGCTCACCGAGTCTCTCCCCTCGCAGCCAAGCTCTCGCGACTCTCGCTGGCGCTGCCGCCGCTCACGCTCACGCCATTCCCGGGGCCGGGTCCGCGGCGGCCCCCGTGGGAGGGCGCGGACGCCGGGGCGAGCACGGGCAGCCCCGGTGCCCGTCGTGGTGAGCAGCGCCGACGCGGACGCGGCCCGCCCGTTGCGGGGACTGCTCAAGTCTCCACGCGGGGCCGACGAACCCGAGGACAGCGAGCTGGAGAGGAAACGCAAGATGGTCTCCTTCCACGGGGACGTGACCGTCTACCTCTTCGACCAGGTGCGCTGCGGCTGCGGGCCCGGGACCCCCCGGGGGTGGCTTCTGCGAAGGGGCGGGGCCTGGATGAAGACTGCGTCTAGGTTGGGGCGGGGCGCGGAAGAAACTGGCCAGGGAATGGGCCGAGACTTGGAGGATCGGATGTGGCCATGAGTGTGGGGGCGGGGTCTGGAGGAAGGCCACGCCTCGGGCTGGGCGGGGCTTGCAGACTGAGGGTGGAGGCTGGCTAGGGGGATAGGAAGGGGTCGAGGGGTAGGGCCCAGTCCAGAGCAGAGGCGGGGCCTGGGGTAGGTGTGGGTGCTGGAGGGCTAGGGAGAGGCCTGGAGAAGAGAAGGGACCCGGAAGAAAAGCATGGTACCTGCTAGTCAGAGGCTAAGGAGAATGTGGACGGCTTCCCTGGTGGCTCAGTGGTAAAGAATCCGCCTGCCAATGCAGGAGACTCGGATTCAATCCCTGGGCCGGGAAGATCCCTTGGAGAAGGAAATGGCAACCCACTCCAGTATTCTTACCTGAGAAATCCCATGGACAGAGGAACCGGGCGGCCTACGGTCCTTGGGGTCGCAAAAGCGTCGGACCTGACTTAGCGAGTAAACAACAACAAAGGAGAAAGTGAGGATTAGGGCATGGTCTGCAAGTGGAGGCGGAACCTAGTGAAGTTCGGGGCGGGGTTTGTCCACCAGCGCTCTAAGGATGTGGAGCCTGAAGAGCGGGCTCAGAATGGAAGGGATCTTATCCCCTAGGTGCGGGCCACGAAGAAGCTGCAGGTAGGGCTTAGAGATGCTGCTTGTAGTGTTAAGAAGCTAAGAGCAGTAAGTGGGTTCGGGGATGGGACAGAACTAGTGAAATGGAGATTGAGGATTGTGTTAAAAGTAACTAGCCTGAGAGTTTACTGTTGAAGAGAAAATGGTGCTTGTGGACTGGGGTGGGGCATACTAAGGTCCTGAGATGAGTGAGAACAGGGTCAAGAGCTGAGGCCTAAGGCACTGAAACCAAGGGACGAGGATTAGAGGGCTGGAGCGGGACCACTTCAGAGGGCCGGTTAGGGGCCCACAGGAGCGTCCGGAGGTGCTCACAATGGGTTAGGGGTTTGGAAGACCATAGGACCAGAACTTGGACGCCTGCAGCCGAGATCTAGGACATGGGTAACGTCTTGGATCGTGGCGGGATTTACAGAGATAGTGTTGGCTTAGGGGCTTCCGTGGAGGCAGCGCGTTAAGGAGCTCAGAGGCAGTTCCTGCGGTGGACTGTGTAGCTGTGGTCGAGGGAAGAGCCTCAGGCTGGGGTGAGGTTAAAGCTAGCCTGCGGCTTCGAGTAGGGGATCTTCAGAGAGAGAGAATGTGAATTGAGATGCCTGAAGCCCCAGAAATGTCAGCGGGGTTTGTTGCTTGTTGGAATGCAGTGAGTGACAAATTCGTCCCCCTCCTTGCCTCTCCTGCCCTCACAGGAGACGCCAACCAACGAGCTGAGTGTCCAGGGCCCCCCCGAGGGGGACACGGACCCGTCCACGCCCCCAGCGCCCCCGACGCCTCCCCACCCCGCCACCCCCGGAGATGGGTTTCCCAGCAACGACAGCGGCTTTGGTGAGGGGCGGGGCGGGGCAGGGTCGGGGGCGGGGCCTGTGGTACCAGCAGTGGTGGGCGGGGCCTGCCGAGGGGCGGGGTCGGAGGGCAGACGCTGATGTTGCAGGGCTGAAGGAGTGACTGAGGGGCTGACTGCCTCCTCTCCTCTCCTCACCCACGCTAGGAGGCAGTTTCGAGTGGGCGGAGGATTTCCCCCTCCTCCCCCCGCCAGGCCCGCCCCTGTGCTTCTCCCGCTTCTCCGTCTCGCCTGCGCTGGAGACCCCGGGGCCCCCCGCCCGGGCCCCCGACGCCCGGCCCGCAGGTACGGTGCTTCAGATCCTCGGCCCTGCCTCACCTCTGCCAATCTCTCTCTGTCCCCATCTCTCTGCATTTGCCTGCCTCTCTCCCAGTCTCTTCCTTCCCTCTCTCTCTCGACTGTTCATCAGTGAAACCCCGCCCACCCAACTCGAATCGGCTCAGACCAAGAGATGTCTATCAGATGGGCTTAGGGAGTCACGCCCTTGTCTGAACCTCAGTTTCCCTTCTGTAAGGATCCCCTCTTAGTCTTGTCCATGGTTTTTTTTTTCCCACTGCGCTGCAAGTGGGATCTTAACTCCCCGACCAGGGATGGAACCTGCGCCTCCTGCAGTGGAAGTGCAGAGCCTTAACCACTGGATCACCGGGGAAGTCCCAGATTATTTCTTTCTTGTTCTTTTTTCATTTTTTCTTACCCATCTTTGGGCTCAGATTCCTGTCTGGTACTTGCGTGATTCTGTTCCCCTCTCCGTTTGAGGGTACAGGTTGTCAGAGGCAGGCAAGGCGACAGCAAATCAGGAGGCTCAAAGCTAGTTAGTAGGAACAAAAGCAGAGAGGCCATGGCCAGGGATTCCCATAGCGATAACAGCAAGCCCCTAGAGTTTGCTTGCAACATCTTAACCCATTTAATCCTGCCTATGATCCCATAGGATGAATTCTAGTCTCATCCCCATTTTGCAGAAGAGACAACTGAGGCTTAAGTATGGAGGCATGAGGAGCCAAGGTACAAACCTAGCTGAGTCCATGCCTTCTCCAGCAGTCAGCGTTTGTCCAGTTCCTTTCTTGAGTTTTACTTATGTCATATTGCTAATCCTCACCCATCTTGGGGGAACGTCCTGGGCCAGGCAGGTGGTGGTGTTCCCAGAGGACAGAGCTAAATAGGTGGAAGGGGCAACTGGCTGTTTTCAGGGAGGGTTCCATGCCTGGCTCCACTACACTGGGCCTGAGTTCAAGTATTGGCCCTGCCACTTGGCTGGGCCACCTAGGGTGAGTCGCTTTCTCTCTCTGTCCCTCAGTTTCTGTAGAATGAGGAGGATAACAGGATCTAACTCATAAGACCGTTAAAGGGATTAAATGGCTTAATCCTCCCCTTGCATGCAGCAGTGGTCTTTAACTGGTAGCTGTTACTGCGTTTAATTAAGTACATGCTTACTGAGCATCAGCTATGCAGGCACTGGGTGAGGGGGATGTTCCATGCTGGGCAAGATCAGTGAGCCCCCCTCCATCCCACCCACAGCACTGACCCCACAGTCCCATGGTGAATGAATAAGTGCAAAACTCAGGGTCGCTGAGAAAGGAGATGCCAAGAGGAAAGGATTTTGTGTCCTTGGTGATGGAAAGGCCCTTTAACCAGGGACTTGAGGGGTTGGTTGTTGTTAAATAGGTGAAGGGGAAGGGGACAGTGTTCTGGCCGATGGAACAGCTTGCCGAGGGCCTGAGGCAGGAGAGAGCTTGGCTGGTTCATGGAACAGAAGGGAAGCGGTGTGTCTGGGGGTTACTTGGAGAGTGGGGCAGATGGAAGTGGGTGAGGGGAGGTGAGAGAGAGCAAGACGGACCTTGTGGGCTTGAGGGTGGGCTGAGGGGAGCGGGCTTTGTCCTGGAGGCCCTAGGAAGCCATGGGAGGGCTGTGAACACAGGAGGAGCAGCTTCAGTCCCAGAGGTAGGAAGACTTCTTCCGGGCCTTGTGGAGGCGAAGGGAGGCAGGGAGGCTGAGGAGGAGGCCAGGGTGAGTGTCCAGGAGGGAGAGAAGACATGCTGAGTCAAAGGCAGGAGGAAGCGGCTTCAGGCTGACTCCTCACTTGGCAGCATCCTCAGATTTCACCCCCGAATGTCACTTCCTTCCAGAGGTCCTCTCGGAGGCCCCCACAAGGACAGGGTAAGATGGGTTCCAGGGCGTGGGGACACCGGCCAAGTGGTGAGTCAGGGCTGAGGCTGGCAGGGCCGGCAGTCCACTTGTGGAGGCGAAGGGAGGCAGGGAGGCTGAGGAGGAGGCCAGGGTGAGTGTCCAGGAGGGAGAGAAGACATGCTGAGTCAAAGGCAGGAGGAACCGGCTTCAGGCTGACTCCTCACTTGGCAGCATCCTCAGATTTCACCCCCGAATGTCACTTCCTTCCAGAGGTCCTCTCAGAGGCCCCCACAAGGACAGGGTAAGATGGGTTCCAGGGCGTGGGGACACCGGCCAAGTGGTGAGTCAGGGCTGAGGCTGGCAGGGCCGGCAGTCCGGGATGACTTCACCTTTATTCACCGGGAGACCAGAGGGAGGGCCGGCCAGGTCATGCAAAACCCCAAATCCGTTTACTCAGTCCTTAGACATTCCCACTGCAGCTGGGCTGCTGAGCTGGTTTCTAGAGACTATGGCTGGGATTGGGGGCTAGGCAGAGCCCCCTTCTGCCTCAGACCCCTGTGCTCGGCCTGGCTCTGTCCACATCACACATATTCCCTGGGTGCTAAGTGATGCTACGAATCCCAGAGCTTTCCTACTCCTTGAAAAAAAAACAAAAGGGTCACGATCCTCATTTAAAGAGAGGGAGACCACAATTTCCCTGGCAGTCTAGTGGTTAGGACTCCACGCTTCCACTGCAGGGGTACCTGGGTTCAGTCCCTGGTCAGGGAACTAAGCTCCTATGAACTAGGCAGTGCGGCCTAAAAGTAAGTAAAATAAAACAAAGAGCAGGGAAACAGGCTCAGGGACTGGGAGTGAGGGTGATGAGCAGGTGAGAAGTATGAGGTGTAGTGGGAGGGTGTCTGGCATGTAGCCCTTGTCAACAGTCTTCCCCCCATGGGCCTCGGTTTTCCGGATCTGTCGAATGGGTGAGGGGCTCTCATTTCATGAGAGGGGTCGTGGTGGGAAACTTTGGCGGAAGCCTTTGTGCAGGGCCTCTACGGGACGCTGGGAATGCAGCAGTGACCAAGTGCAGTCCCATCCTCTCAGGTCTTCCGTTCTACAGGGGCACGCAGACCAGAAGCTAGCTCTTTGACAATGTCTGAGATTATCCCAGAGAAGAGACATGAAGGAACATAACTATAGTTCAGAGACTTCCCTGCTGATTAGGACTCAGCACTTTTTCTGCTGAGGGTCTGGGTTTCATCGTTGGTCGAGGAACTAAGATCCTGGAAGTCATGCCACATGACAGAAAAAAACAAAAACAGAACAAAACAATCAGGGGTGAGGAACGACTGCTTGACTGAGAATGGCCGGAGAAGGCCCCTGAAGAGGGGGCACGTGAGTGGAGGCCTGAGTTCCATGGGAAGGGCTTAAGGGTGTGCCAGGTAGTGGGAACAGCCAGTGCAAAGGCCCTGGGGTAGGACTGTGCTTGGAGGAACAGCAAGGAAGGAGACCAGTGTGGCTGGAGCAGATTGAGTTGGGGGGGAGGGGGCAGTAAATGAAGACAGAAAAGAGACAGAGCAGACAGACCATGGGGGTTTGTGGGCCACAATGAGAACTTGGCTTTTTACTCTGTTGAGCCAGAAGCCATGAGCCTTTCTGCCTAGTAATCCCATTTCTTCCTCTTCTTCCTCCATCCTCAGGCCCCGTGGAGAACTGACTCCCCAAAGACCTGACCCCCCTGCACCCCCAGAAGAGGGGCTGAGAGTAGAATCTTCTGTGGACGACGGAGCCACTGCCACCACCACAGACACCGCCTCCGGAGGGCCTGGAGCCCCTCTGCACAGCGGAGGCCCCTCCTTACCCCTTCCCAGCCCCAGACAGGGGCCGCAGGCTTCGGGGACCTGGACCCCCCCCATCTCGCGTCTCCCCTTCTCCACTCCAGCCTGGCCCCTGGAGGGGCCTCTGGTTCAAACCTTCGCGTGGCATTTTCACATTATTTAAAAAAGACAAAAACAACTTTTTGGAGGAACGTGGGGCATGTGTGTGTTTCAGGAGGCAAAGAGGGGAGGCTGTCCAGGAGATGTGTCCATTCTCACAGCCCCATTTGACAGATGGGAACATTGAGGCTCAGGAAGGCAGAAATGCCTGTGGGGCAGAGACCCTGGGCTTCCAACTTCTCTGGATCTCAGCTCTGTGTCTGGTGCGGGCATCACTGACTTCTATCGCAGTCTCAACTTAGAATTCAAGAGGGGACAAGGAGTCAGTGAGGGTTCGGGAGTGGAGCAGAGCCAGGTTTCTGCAGAGTGGCCTGTGATGGTGGCCAGATATCCCGGGGCCACTGCCGCTGACGGAGGTGCTCGGAAACAACCTGCCAGCACCACACTGGATCGTGGCCACACCCCACGCACCTCAGAATGGCACTGCATGTCCCATCTAGCTCCCTGCCCACGGTGACTATGCCTCGGTTTACCCCTTTCTCCATGTGACCACCTACCTCCCTGACATTCTCTTGCCTTCACCTTAATCAAAATTCTTCACTGAAATTTTGTTTTGTTCCTTTCCCTTCAGCTTCCCATTCCACCCGTCCCCAGTTTGGTCTTTATTTTCTCATCTCTCCATCTGTGTCTTTTTCTCAGCCTTTCTTCCCATCTGATTCTATTTCTGTCTGAGCTTCTCCCCATCTCTACCTTTTTTTCTCCTTGTCTGTCTCTCCTTGTCACCTTCTTGTCTCTGTGCTGTCTTTCTCCCATGGCTTTTTGTCTTGATTTCTTTTTCTCAACTTGTCCTTGACTGATCCCATCTCCATCTTTCTCTTTTTTTCCTCTGACTGGGTCTGTCTCTGTCTTTGCATCTAGGATCTCCTGGCTTCCACTTATCTGCGCCCCCACCCCTCTGCCCTACACCTTCGTACCTGATTCATTTGTGTCTTTGAGGGATGTAGTTTGGAGAAGGGAGGAGGTGGCAGGGTCAGGAGACTCAGCTGAGATGCTGTGTGGACTCCTGGCTTAAGAATTAAGGTGATGAGAGCATTAGGGTCACATGTACATTGTGGAGGATGGAGAAAAGGTGAGAGAGTTAGGTTTTGCCTCTTTCCCCTGCTGCCACTGCTGCCACATTTGGTGTTTCTTGAACTGATACGCAGCGCATCTGCCCAGGGTGGGTGCTGCATGGAGCCTAGCCAGGTTAGGCGCAGTGAAAGCCCAGGCTCCTGGGTCTCAGGGAGGCGGCGGCTGGGGTCCTGGACTCCTAGATCTGAGGGTGAAGGGGTAGTATTAGTTCACTAGGGGTGCTGTAAATAAGTCCCACTAATTGGGTGGCTTCAACCAAAGACATTATCTCACAGTTCTGGAGACTAGATGTCCAAGATCAAGGTGTCAGCAGGGTTGGTTCCTTCTGAGGATGGTGAGGGAGAATCTATTCCAGACCCGTTTCTTACCTTCTGGTGGTGGTCTGGCAATCTTTGGTGTTCCTCGACTTGCAGAAGCATCACCCCTATCTCTGCCTTCATCATCACATGGCGTTCCCTCTTTCTGTGGGTCCAAAGTGTCCCTTTGTGTAAGGACACCAGTCAAATTGGATTAGGGCCCACATGAATGACCTCATCTTAACCAATTATATCTGCAATGATCCTATTTTGAAGTAAGATCACATTCTGAGGTACTGGGTGTTGGGACTTCAGTATCTGGATCTGTGGGGAACATGGTTCAACTTGTAATGAGGGGGTTGGGAGTATGGGGTCCTGGGAGAAGAAGCTGGAAGCAAGAATTTCTCAGCGCTTGGGGAGAAGACAGATTAGTGAGACAACTGAAGGACAACTTGGAGGTGATCTGAATGTTCCATGGGCATCTCCAGCTTAATTTGGCCAAACAGAACCATTGATTTATCTCCCGTAAAGCCCCTCTTTGGCCATCTCAGTAAATGACTTGGTTGCTCACCGGTTGCTCAAGCGAGAATCCCAGAGTTGACCCAGCCCTCTCCAAGTCCTGCTGGCTCCTCTTCAAAATGACTCTCATGGGTCCAGGTCTCCACCTCTACAGTCCCACCCTTTTATGCTCGGATGACCACACAGCCTCCTAACTTACCCCCCTGCTACCGCCCCTGCTCACCTCCAAATTATTCTCCTGCAGCAGCCAGAGGCGGCTCCTGCAACATCAACCCAAATACATCACTCTCCTGCGTCATACCCTTGGAGGGCTTCCCATTCTAGCTAAAGATACATTCAAAGCCCTAACACAGTTGTCCAGGCCCCAAATGATTGGGTCCAAGTATCCCCTTCTTTTCCCATCACCCCATCCCCACTGCATCACTACTGTACACACACAGTGAGCTGCTGTCACTTACTCCAACATACGTTTCCCTGCCTCAGCACAAGCCATTCGCTAAGCCTGGCCAGGCACTTCCGCACAGTAGGCTCTCAGCACCTATGGCTTCATCCCATGTATTCTGTGCGGAGTCCTGTCCAACTCTCTGCGACCCAATGGACTAGAGCCTGCCAGGCTCCTCTGTTCCATGGAATTTTCCAGGGAAGGATACTGGAAAGTCAGTCACTCAGCTGTGTCTGACTCTTTGCACCCTTCTGGAGTGTAGCCCACCAGGCTCCTCTCTCCATGGAGTTTTCCAGGAAAAAATGCTGGAGTGGATTGCTATTTCCTTCTGCAGGGGCTCTTCCAGACTCAGGGATAGAACCTGCATCTCCTGCACTGCAGGCAGATTCTTTACCCACTGAGCCATCAGGGAAGTCTGTGAAGTAGAACAAAATAGGGGGAAGATTGTGGTGGGACTCTATTGACCCAGGGACCTCATTCCCCATGACTTTCTTGGGTCAACGGCTCCATTTCCATGGAACCTTCCAGAGGAGTTGGGAATTCTATTTCCTCATTTGGGAACTCCATTTCCCATCAGCCCCTGGGTTTGAAATGATCAGGCTGGGTTTCCTTTCCCAGCATGTCGAAGCACCTATGAAGTGGAGGAGGGGATGGGGGCTCAGCCTAAGGGAAACCAAGTCTCCAAGTCTTAAGGAACTGCATTTCCCAGACCTCTGGAATGGTTCTCCCAACAGTGGGGTGGCCAGCACTGCACAGCTTGCTGGGAAGTGTAGTCCAGCAGTCTCACCTCAAAGCTATTAACAGCGTTTAGGAAATTTCTTGCCTGTGGAAGCCTTTGGCTAAGAGGAGGGCCGGACCTTCCTCACCTCACTGGCAGTACTTGACAATTAGGGATTCGGTCCCTCGGGGACACAGAGGACACAACAGTTGGAAATAACGGCAAGTCTAACACATCCGGGGGCAACAGGCTTCCCTTCCAGCCTGGGCTGGGTCCTGGGCCTGTCTGGCGTTGTGGTTTTTTGTACTAAATCCCTCTCAGCTGCAAGTCTGGACATAGGAGAGAGACACGGGCCTGCAGACACCCATCTTGGGGTCCATGCGCTTTTGTTCTCTGGTGACACCCCAAGCTGGAAGGCACACCCCAAGCAGGAAGGCAGCAGGGGACAGACCTGGACCTTGCTCAGGGGTACCCCACTCTCCAAGGGTGGGGTACCTTAGAGGAAGTGGTCCTTACACTTCAGGAGGTTGTCAGATTCCTGGGAAAGATGCTACAAAACTGCAGGTTCTCAGCGCTATCCCTGCCTGGTGTTAAAATGACCTCCAAAGGATGATCATTGGGTGGCTGAGAAACCTGGTTCAAATTGCCCAGAATCCCACCCCCAGCCCCGCAGCCCCACTCCATCTACACCGGGCAGACCCAGTCCATTTCCGACAGCACTAACTTCTGGCCCAGCACCCTGAGCAGGGCCTTCCCACTCGCCGTACCCAACACTCCAACCTTCATCCTTCCTTTTTCCAGATTCGTCCTTCCACACCCTACCAGAGCCGTCCCCCTTCAAAGCTCTTCTGGCTCCTAGCTTTGGCCTCAAAGCGTTAGCCCAGCCCATATGTGTTGCTCCTCAAAGACGACAAGCCTGTGGGAGCAAAGGCGGAACAAGTGTGTGTCTGGATGTCAAGTAACGTCTAGAAGGAACGGCGCACCTTGTCTGGGAAGCTCTGCATACCTGCAGTGCCCTGCAGCTCTAACTGAAAGCTAATTCCAGCCACGTTAAACTTCTCCCTTTACTCCACCCTCGCAGGCTACAGGTGAGACCAGAATGAGCCATCGTGGAGATGCACCCATGGGGCCACACGGTCAGCACCGTTTTCACACGTCATGAGAGATACCAACAGATCAGCACTTCGGGTCCTGGTCATGGATGGGGGTGCTGGGCCAGCTCAGTCAAGCACCTTAGCTCTGTGAACCCCAAGAAATGAGGTGGGTCTGCAGGCTGCAAGTGGTTAAATAATTAATAAGATTACCAACAGGGTGCTAATTACAAATAACGAGAGAGGAGCTAGAGGCGATGAGTCTTCCAAACAAGGAACCAGGATCCGAAGCCCCAAGGCCCAGGGGTCCGGCCACCCGGGCAGGGCAGCTCCGAAATAAATAATGGAGTCGGGGGCAAGGGGTCAGGGCTGCTCCTGCTTCTTCTTGACTGAAATCCGCTTCTTCCTTGCTGCCAGCATCTCATAGAAGGGGTCCACGCTCACAGCGGCCCTGCGGAAGGGGCGGGAACCCAGGGTGAGGGCTGAGGAGCCTGGGCCCCCGGCCACCCTCCCCTCCCCCAGGACTCCGGGAGCCCCTGCTCACTGAATGGACTTGATCCACTCGTCCTTCTCCTCCTGTGTGGGGGCCGAGATCCGGTACACCATGTGGTTCCCTTCAACCACGCGGCCGTCGGCCTCCGTTTTGCAGGCTTTGATGAGCTGCCCCTTGTTGTTGGGGATATACA